TATTTTTGAGTTCTGCAATCACCTCTATCTACACTATGCAAACACAAATCATGACAAAAATATTTTTTGTAATACAATTAAAATATGTTATAGTAGGCATTTGACTTTTAGTATGATTGTTTTCCTCTGGTTCTAAGATGGCAACCTCCCCTCCCAAAGGGAGCATTTCTAGGGAGCAAGTGGAGGGACTTCTGGTGGCAAAGATCAGGGGTTAGGAATGAGACTTCTGCCCCCAAGATGGCAACAAGGGGTGGGGCAACTGTCAAGGGGCGGGGCTACCCATGAAGCCCTCAATAGCTCACCCAAACTTGTTAGGCAGCCCTCCAGCCAAAAAAATTGCCCACCCTGAGACAGACTAACTGAATCAAAGAGGCATAAGCTTTCATGAACAATAGCTTACTTCAGATGCTTATGCATCTCTGATTCACTTAGTCTATAAAATTACATCTCTACCCTGCCTTCTACATAAAATTAGTGCAGCATAATCAATGCTGCTTACAATAAAATTATAACAATTTATCAAAATCTCAATTTTTTTTAAAAGCTAACTTTACATACAGGATTACAATTCACTATTAATATGCATAAGACCTACCACTACCATTATTATTATTCCCATCTAACTTCTGTATGGTGTTTTTTATTGCATATGCTTACTCCAACTCTGGGATTTTAGATATTAGGACTGGAGTGTCTTTCCTTGCTCTAAACTTGAGACAACTGTTTTACACATTCTTAAAAAAAAAAGAAAGACACTTGCTACACACCTCATAAAAAGAAAGAAGTAGATGTCATCTTACCCTTATTGTCTGGTCATTAGAAGATGTCAGAAATAAAGAGCCATCAGGGGAAAATGTCACACAGTGAACCCAACTCATGTGTTCCCTGCAGTCAGCTACTTTTGTCTTGGTTTTAGTATTCCACAACTACAGCAAAAATGAGAGGAAGAGTCTAGCTGTAACACACAAATATTCTAAATCCGTAACACAAAGCACATACAGTAAGTGCCCAAGAATGTAATGAGTTTTCTTTTACTAGTATTTTATTGTATTGCCTCTATTCACTACAAAGATTTATTAGTTAAAAATATTGAAGTTTTCAGCTTGTAACTAAATTAATCCACAGTGTTAATTTACATACATACATAAGTGACCAAAATATCTATTACATAAAATATTATACTAGTAAATATGTTGAGACTAGTGTGGATACCATGCACTGCCATTTTAACTTGTGTGAATCATCAAATCCTGTAGCATACTTGTATATTCCATATCTTTTATGTAATGTTTTATGTATTACAGAATCTTTTATACCATGACTGGAGTACTGACATGGATGGCTTTAAACTGTCCAGGAAGAACAGGAAGGGGACAAGAGTGGGAGGAGCTGCTCTTTAAGTAAGAGCTGTCTGATTGCTCAGAGATCCAGTAAGAAACTGGAGACAGGCCTGTTGAAAGTCTCTGGGTTAGGGTCAGAGGGGAGAGCAACAAGGGTGACATCGTGGTGAGTGTCTGCTACGGACCACCAGACCGAGACAATGAGGTGGACGAAGCTGTCTTCAAACAGCTGGCAGAAGTTTCCCGATCACAGGACCTGGTTCTCACGGGGGACTTCAAATCACCATGACATCCACTGGGAGGGAAATGCAACAGAGCAAAAGAAGTTTTGGAGAGTGCTGGGAACAACTTCCTGGTGCAAGTGTTGGAGTGGCCAACTAGGGGCCATGCTCTTCTTGACCAGCTGCTCACGAAAGGGGAAGAATGGGTGGGGCATGCACTAGTGGATGTTAACTTGGGAAGCAGCGACCACAAGATAATTGAGTTCGGGATTCTGAGGAAAGGAAGGGTGTAGAGCAGGACAATAAGGACCCTGGACTCCAGAAAAACAGACTCTGACTCACTCAGGGAACTGATGGGCAGGATCCCCTGGGAAGCCAGTCTGAGGGGGAGATAAGTCCAGGAAAGCTGGCTGTACTTTAAAGAAACCTTACTGAGGGTGCAGGAATGAACCACTTGATGTGCAGGAAGACTTGCAAGTATGGCAGAAGAGCAGCTTGGCTTAGCAAGGAACACTTCAAATGTGTTAAAACACGAAAAGGAAGCTTACAAGCAGTGGAAAACTACTAGGGAAGAATATAAGAGTACTGCTCAGACATGCAGGGATGAAATCAGGAAGGCCAGAGCACAAATGGAGATCCAGATAGCAAGAGATATGAAGGGTAATGAGAAGGGTTTCTACAAGTATATCAGCAACAAAAGAAGGATCAGGGAAATTGTGGGTCCCTTACTGAACCAGGGAGACAACCTAGTGACAGATGATACAGAAAAGGCTGTAGTAATCTTTTTTATGTCTTTTTTACCCCAGTCTTCACAGGCAAGGTCAGCTATCAGACTACTGTGGAAGAGGTGGGCAGTGGCAAAAGAAGAGATTAGGGAGTATTTAGAAAAGCTGGATGCATACAAGTCCATAGGGCCAGACAGGATGCACCTGAGTGTGGAGGGAGTTGGCTGATGTGATTGTAGATAGAGCCAATGACCATTATCTCTGAAAACTCATGGCGAGCAGGAAAGATCCTGGATGCTTGGAAAAGGGCCCATCTTTAAGAAAGGGAAGAAGGAGGATCCAGGGAACTACAGACCAGTCAACCTCACTTCAGTCCCTGGAAAAATCCTGCAGCAGGCCCTCAGAGAATCCATTTCTAAGCACTTGGAAGAGAAGGTGATTAGGAACAGCTAGCTTGGATTCACAAAGGCAAGTCATGCCTGATCAACGTAATTGTCCTCTATAAGTTGACTGGCTCTGTGGATGCTGGGGCAGGGGTGCAGTGGATTAATATACCTTGACTTTAGCAAGACTTTTGATATGGTCTTCTACAACGTTCTCACAAGCAAGCTAAGGAAATATGGGTTGGATGAATGGACTGTAAGGTGGATAAAAAACTGGCTGGATCATCGGGCTTAAGGGTAGGAATCAATGGCTTATGTCTAGTTGGCAGCCAGTATCAAGTGGAGTACACCAAGAGTTGGTCCTGGGGCTGATTTTGTTCAACATGGGATGGAATGCACCCTCAGCAAGTTCACAGATTACACCAAGCTAAGTAGAGTAACAGTAGATACGCTGGAGTTTAGGGTTACAATCCAGAGAGACCTAGACAAATTATAGGATTGGACCAAAAGGAATCTCATGAATTTCAACAAAGACAAGTACAAAGTCTTGCATTTTGGATGGAACAATTCCATGCACCAGAACCGGCTTAGGACTGACTGGTTAAACAGCAGCTCTGCAGAAAAGGACCTGGAGCTTACAGTGAACAATATGCTGAACATGAGTCAATAGTGTGCTCTTGTTGTGAAGAAGGCTAATGGCATACTGAGCTGGCTGCATTAGCAGGAACACTGCCAGCAGAGGGAAGCGATTGTTCTACTCTGTTCAGCACTGGTGAAGCCATATCTGGAGTACTGTCTCCAGATTTGGGTCCCTCACTATAGGAAGGATCTGGAGAAATTGGAAAGAGTCCAGCAGAAGGCCACAAAAATGGTTAGAGGGCTGAGGCACATGACTTATGATTATGAGAGGCTGAGAACTTGGTTCATTTAGTCTGGAGAAGAGGTGACTGAGGGGCGATTTAGTAACAGCCTTCAACTAACCGAAGGGGGGTTCCAAAGAGGATGGAACTACACTGTTCTCAGTGGTGGCAGATAACAGAAGAAGCAGCAATGGTAGCTTAGGTTAGATATTAGGGAAAACAGTCTCATGAGGAGGGTAGTACAGCACTGGAACAACAGGCTACCCAGAGAAGTTGTGGGATATTCATCCTTGGAAGTTTTTAAGACCCAGGTAGACAAAACCTTGACTGGGAGAAAGTGAGGAGGTTTTTCCTAATATACAACTTAAACCTCCCTTGCTGCAACTTGAGATTGTTGCTCCTCGTTCTGTCATCTGTCACCACTGAGAACAGTCTCATCCTCTTTGGAACCACCTTTCAAGTAGTTTAAAGTAAAGTCGCTGAATTCACACTGAATGTGTATTTTTTGAAAATAGTTAATTTACTTCTGATTCTCCAAAACTAAATAATTGATACAGCATATTTTTTTCATTTTATAGCACAGGAGAGCTATCTGCATTATCTTAACAAAAGATGATCACTTACCTCAACAGAATAGTGTGAGAAAGCAACTGCTACCAGTTGATTGCTGGGGCAGAAGTCATAGTACTGGATTGTGTTTTGGTAACTTAAAACCTCTTCTAATAAATCACTGGTTTCAACATCTAAAAGCTGTGAAAACAATTCCAAGAAGTATGATGTATTAACATTATGACGAACTCGGCTAACTAAAGAATAAGATTTAATTCCTTGAATTAATCTCCGGCAACTACTGAATGCACAGTCTAATACACTGAATACTGAGTAATGCATTTTGTTGAATACAATAATTTTATTATTGAAAAAGTCCGATTTAAAAAATGTACCACGCTGACTCAAAATGCAGTCTAATTGGCCACCATATAAATAAGAAGGAATAATGTATCTTTTTAAACGTGCATATCTGTCCATATTGATAAACAAGTTAGTTTAAAAAACTGCTTTATTATTGATTCCATCACATGTAGAAAACATTCTGTAAGCTTAATATTTGGTGTTTTGAAATACAGAATAATCAAGAACTTCAGAAATGAGAAAAGTTAAATGATATGATCAAATCTGGTAAACTAATCCCTAAAGTATCTTACTCTGCATGCTAAATCAAAAGCTGAATGCTTTGTCAAAACTTGAGCAAACAAAAAAGCTAATTTATGCTATGCCAATTTCTAATATGCAGTCAGTTTAATAACTCAGTTGTAAAACATTGAAAAGTTGAGGTTACAATATCGTATAACAAGAGTCACTGACTGGCAGAATTAACCTTTGAACAATTTTCTGACCTAATTATGAAGGATGAAAGATAATAATTTCTAACACCCCTGAAAAGGCTCCTGTAACTTTTTCTCATTAACACAGCTTTATCTTTTTTTCTGTGCTAACCATTTAACGCAGGAGTGTCAAAGACCATGAAGTCCTATCATCCAGCCCACCGTGCTGCCTTGTGGGTTTCTACTGGACCCACGTGCCGCTTGCAGTGAGTGGGGCCAGCTCCTGGCACATGCTGCATGCAGCGCTGTGGGACCTGCCTGGCCTGCGCACTGGATTTGGGGCGGAAAAATCGTGCGTGAGCCTAATCCAGCCTGCAGACTGGCTCTGTGCTCCTCATCCAGGGCCTAATGAATTTGATACCATTGATTTAAACAGTTACAGTAAAATCTCTGTTATCTGGCGTAAAGGGGACTGGCGGTTATGTAAAAATTCTGGTTATCTGAAACCCCCCAACAGGGGTGTTCAGGTAACACGGAATGGGGCAGAGGGGAGGAGGTGGCAGCTGCACACGGAGTGGGGGAGGAGGGTATGTGGAGAAGGCTGTCTGCAAAGTGGCAGCAGCTCAAGGTGATGGGTGGCGGCAGCTGCCGCCACGTGCGAGCTTTCCCCTGTCCCCCCCGCCACGTCCATCCAGCCAGCCGGCAATTCCAGTTAATTGAATTTTCGGTTAGTTAAATGCCAGAAAGCAGAGATTTTACTGTATATGTCCTTCTATGCCAGGTGTGTCCTTTTATAACTAGTAATAACGGGGTGTCAAACATGGCAGATAATTTTCAGCTATTCCATATTTTCCTTAGCACTAAAGAAAGAACCAAGCATACAGCTATTCTTCTACAGCTTATTCAAAGGAGCCAGAGAGAAAGAGATGGGAGTGAACAAATGTGTGTCCAAAAGGTCAAAAGGCAGCTGAAGTCTTTCACCTGTTGTTGCAAAGCAGCTGCTTCACCTAGGGCTCTCAGTTCAGTCACAGACCAGAGTAGCTGCTTCTCAAAGTCCGAAGTTCCAGAATGAGACGCACTAGAGCAGAGGTTCCCAAACTTTTTCATATTGTGTACCCCCTTCCAAGTTTACCAGCTGCTCACATACCCTTACGAGCATATATTTTATATTTTTGTAATGGAGAATGTGTAAAGTAATTAAAGTAGGGGTGCACTGATAGAGATTTTTGGGGCTGATACTGATAGCTGATTTTTTAAGGAGACATACTGACCAATACCGATCCAATTTCCGATACTAGCCCGGCAGCTTGGAGAGCTGTGTGCAGCTGGTAAGTCTGGTGTGGTGGAAGAGGAGTGGGGAGGAAAGGAGTGTGAGGGTGGCAGGCCCCCGCAGTGAGGGAGAAGTGGGGCTGGGGCCAGGGCAAGCACTGTCCAGCCAAATTATCGGCTACATTGGGTCAATTTCTGATACGATCAATTTTCTTTATATCGCTGCCCATCCGATATCAGACAGATGTATTGGTGCACCTCTAGATTAAAGTAAAGGAAAAAACTGAGACTACAGGAAAAAATTAAATCTGAATACTTACAAGAAGTTTATTCTTGGCTGCCACCATTACTGTAGCACCATCTGTTGACCAGGAGCAACACTTGGGTAATGCTTCCACTTCTTGTTCATCTGCATTTCTGAAGAAATCCTTTATCCTAATACATTTCAGTTCATTTCCTGAGCCTGTTTCCCAAAGCTTCAAGAACAAATATATGAAATCAAACTCTCAAAATCAGAGATTATATAAATTAGCTTTAAATGCATACGAAAAGATTTATTAAAAGCCATTTATTCAATTTTTCCATACGTGTACAATGTACGTAAATATGTGTCATAAGGGAGGAGGCAGCTTGTAACTGCATATCCAATTCTGGACTTCTCTGCATCAGGAAAGTATTTACAAATTGGGAATGTTCAGAAAGCAGCGATCAAAATTATAAAAGCAGAAGTGCTTAAAATTTCTTTGGGCTGGGACTATAACACTTTAATTCATTTTATGAATGTGAAAGGAATGTATTTAACTACAGGTTACATTAATCTATTAACTATTAAAACTGCACAAAGCAATCTTTCCTCAAGGGTACTCTAAACATGTTTTCAAAGAATAAAAAGCCCCTAAATTCCTCATTTTAGAGCCAACAAACAGGATATTTTCTTTTCATAGTGTATTTTGTAATTCTCCACATACATACTATAAAATAAAGGCAGCACAACATTTTCCTTCTCTGGACCTGTATGTGAATTTTGTATTACGCTAAAATAATTTACAGTTTCTTGTTGTCAACTTAAAATCTTTGTACTACATATCCATGTAATCTATAAATGTATATTAAAAGGTAGATCCCATAAGATTTAAAGTTATAGTTATATTGGTATTTCTTTTTTGTGTCTAATATTGGAACGTGAAAGTTTTGGCAGAAAAATTAGAGCCATCTATCTTGTAGTTTCAGTGGCAATCATCCAAGAGCACACTAAATTATAGGCCATCAATTACTGATTTTTAGAAACTAAAGTAAATACATTTATTGTGATTCTCCGCTTTATCCTCAGATACATCCAACTGGTTAGAATTCTGAAAGACTTTCCTTTACCAAATATTTGCTAAATTTATTTTAGTATGATGGCCACTGGTGGAGGTGATTGGAAAGTTGCCCCCACTGCTGCTTCTCCTTGGTTGGGCTGGGCCACCGCTGCTGCTGACTATCCTGGAGCTAGATCCAATGCCACCCAGAAAGTAAGCAGGGGGACAGGCACAGTAGTGGGGGGTATACCAGGGCATGCAAGGGAAGGCAGCAAGGGAGGGGAAGCTTTAGCCCCTTGCCTCCATTACTGCTCTACATACTTAAAATGATCCTACAATAATTAGATTCTATACATAGAACTTTGTAGATTTGAAGTTGTCTTGGGTTTGGGTAAATATGGTACATCAAGGTTTGGGCAGAAGAATTCTCTAATTTTCACTAGACAAGGTAACATCCAAGCCAAAAAGGTTTATTGTGTTGATTTTTAATTCCGACAGTGAAAGTCAAGGTTTTTACATTTCCTAAGGGAATCAAAACACATGCTCATTATTTTTAAGTTACAGTGTAGAAAATGGACTTCCTTCAGCAAACAAGTAATACTTGAAAAGGTATGCTGTTCTCTAGTACTAGAATCTAAAGTAAAAGAGGAAAACAGACTGGGTTACAACTAGATCCTACACTATAGATTATCAGATGTCTCACTGTAAATGAAAGGATTAAAAAACATAGTGAAATCTCATAGAGAATGAAAGTTGGTGTTTAAAAGATACCATGCATGCACTTGATATAAATAGAGTCCACATTTGTGCCTAGTACACTAGATTAATTTTTTTAAGCCAACTGTAATGAAATAATTATTCTGAAGCAGAGCCACGATTATTCACTCAGAATGAACTGAGAGATACTCAAATACAGTTGCACAAATGAGACCTGCATGGAGTAAGTTCAAGCTAAACATTTACAGCCAGGTTTTCAAAACCCAAGCATTCTAAGCAAATTTGTACATTTAAAGTATCATTTAAAATACCTGATGCTTTAAAAATAAGAAAATAGAAAAGCATCAAAGAATTCTGTCTCTACCAGGAGTAAGGACAAGAGAAAAGCTGAATTCTGCCATGCACAGCAGAAAAAGGGAACAGACTTACGAGAAAGGTGAAACACTGATAACACCTGAAGTACCCACCAACCACAGCTATTATGAAAAAAAAAAGAGACTGTCTTGTGGTGGAAGATGCTCCCATCAGGAAGACGTGAAATTTATTTGCTTTGGGGAAGAAAAGCAATTAGCTGTTGTTACATCTGCCTGTAGACAGTGCAAGCCCAACAGCTAAGAAGGATCTGATAAAAAAAGAAGTCTTGTCCCCTGATCTCGCTGATGCATTCAAAGGCAAGTAGAACCCTTTTCAACTTTGATTTTTATCACAGCAGCAGGTTTTCCATCATTCCTAATTTAGATACTCTTAAAGAAAAATAAGAATTTTTGAAGCGTGACTAATATGGTGCAAGTCTCTTAATTGCTTTAAAAAATATATCACTGACTAGGGAAAGTTAACTAAAAAAAACAAAAAACAAAAAAAAGTCATCCCTACCTCACCTGGCTGTGTAAAATTTAGACGTACACCGATACACTGGTACATATCGTATTGGCACTGATAAAAGGAAAATTGACATCATCGGGAATTGGCTTTTTTTGGCTGATGTGGTCAATAATGTTGCCAGTAAATGCCACATGCATGCACAGAGCCGCAGCATGCACATGACTAGGAACGCAGCCCGGCAGCTTGGAGAGCAGCATCTAGATCTTAAGCCTGTTGGGGCAAGGGGGAGGGAAAGGATGCAGGGGGATGCAGATTGAGTCCCCCATGGTGAGGGTGGGAGTGGTACTGGGGCAGGGATGGGGGTAGGCGCTACCCAGCCGGGGTAGGGTGGTATGCGGCACAGAGCTGGTGGCTCATCCAGGGGTTGCGGGGAGGGGGGGCTCCCGCCACTGCACACACCCCCGGGGAAGGCATGTGCCCCCCTGGATTTTTGCACGGGGTGAGGGTGGGCTGCTGCTGCGCGCTCAGGGCCGGGGCTGCTCCAGCCTCTTCCCAGTGGCTGCGCTTGGGCCGGGCAGAGTGGGAAAGGTTGTGGCAGCACTGGGAGGGGGGGCTACAGGGGAGCTAGAGCTACCCCAAAATTTGCTGTAGCCCTTGCTTCCAGTGCCACTGCCTCCCATCCTACCCCTCCTGGCCCAAAAGCAGCTGCCAGGAAGAGGCTGGAGCAGCCCCAGCCCGAAGCGCACAGCAGGTGGCCTACCCTTGCCCCATGCACAGATCCAGAGGGTTACATGCTCCCCATGCCTCTTCTGGGGGTGCATGCAGCAGTGGGAGCCCCCCCACACCCCAGGATGAGCCGCTGGGGCCCCACCCC